CTCCGCAGCCGCCGCTGACGACGACGACGCCGGCACAACGGCAGCTGCGACGCCGCAGGAAGAGTCACCCTCGCCGTCGCCGTCGCCGCCGCCGCCACCGTCGGACCGCTCCCCGGCTTCTCTAATCGAGAGGTCTAGAAACGGGGGAACCCGTACGACACCTGCGGTGAGGGGCAGTGGGGCACCCGCGGCGGCGACACCAAGAAGCTTACGGCCAAAGGTCCCTCATGGCACGTGTACGACACAGCAGCGTACGACACGGCAGTGCATGACACGGCAGTGTACGACAAGGTGATGCGTTGGAGAACAAAGATAAGCGCAGCGAGGATGGACTCGGAAACAGCGAATGTACGGATTCAGCAAGTACATTTGTTCTAGCTTTGTACGGCTTTGGCCAGTGTACGGCTTTATCCAGTCAACGGCCTTCAGCATGTGTACGGCTTAGCCAGGGGTACGTCTTTAGCAAGTGTACGACGTCAGCGGGGAAGCCTTTTCTACTGCCAGCCACTACACCGCAGCGGCACCGCTGCGCTAACACACCCCCCAGGCAACAGAACAGGAGTGAGTGAACAGAAAAGGGTGCTACGATGCAAGGACGACGACAACAGAAACAGAAACATGGCAACGAAAATGTTCAGCAAGCTGGAGGGTGCACCGCATTCGAATATGGGGCTTAGGGTACCGGCCCATCGTTCTGGAGGTGTGAGACAGCCAAACTGTAAAAGCAAGGCTGTTGAATCCTTTCGCCTTTGTTTCGCGGATCGAAGAGTGTCAGAAAAGTTACCACCGGGGTGGACTCTCTTCCGTTCCCAAACTGACTGAAAGCTGTCAGAGCGCGCCAATCCCCTTGGGGACGTGTAAAAGCGATGGTAGGGAGTCAACCTCGTCCTGATGCAGTGAGGTAGAAGTGAGGCATGTTTTGGGGAGTGGCATCAGCTAAAATGAGCCGCGTGCCGCAGCTGTTAAAGATTCTTGGCGGCATTTTTAATTCAAAAGCATCGCAAGGTTCAAAGGTCAGATGCTCTGTGCCGTGCGCGCATCGCAGCCCCACTCCAAAACGCTGGTTGCACTACTTGCGATCAAGCCGAGCACATGTCTTAATACCTTTCCAGACATCCCCTTCGTTGACTAGCTCCTGCAGCATCACCGCAAGTGCCTCTGGCTCGTGCTTGAAGATAAGTGCGAGGAGGTCCTCGCCATCCGAATGCCCAGCCTCTGCGCTTTGCGGCCCATCTGGCGCTGCATTTTCATTCCGCCGCGAAATAAACGCGTTCCTGTTACTGCTAGCTCGAGGCTCCGGTGGAGCTTTGCGTTTCCTGACTCTGTCGCCCATCCATCGCCTACTAGTCAGATTCTGCCGCAGCGCTTGGTGGTCATCTAAACTAAACACTGTAAAGCATGCAGGTGTTGCCGCAAGGATGAGGGCGTCACGCTGGTTATCCTGCAAAGAGGCAAGCAATGGCTGTGGACGGTGTCTCCTCGGCCGTTATGTTGGGTTAATTCCCTGAAAGCAATAAGTAACCATTACCTCATTTTCATGGTTATAGTTATGCTGCCAAAAACTTAGACCAGAGACGTTCTCAGCGACTTCTACTGTGCCACCCTTCTGCCATGCTTCAAAGCTTTCGATCAAATGTCCCTTATCTTGCTGTGCTTTGGTAGTGCTGCGGTACGCCCGTGCACGCCGGGCCCGACCACGGCCAAAGCAAACCAGCCACATCCTGTGGAGGATTAAGATATTCTTTGGAAAGTCAATGAACAGTATTTCACATAAGATATGAAATGGGTACCATGAAGGCTATCAGTTTCGTAGCCAATGCGTAGCGAATGAAAAAGGTTGCAGTCGCGCACATTTGCTCGTACAATTGACATTACCTTAACTGCATCTTTTTAATGGTAAAGCCTGGCATTATGTGTCATAATTGTTCAAAACAAATCATCGGCTCCAATGCGTTCAATGATTGCGCAGCAACCAGTACCAATAATCACCGTACTGTGGCGTTGTATATAGCGCCGCTGAGACTTGCCTGTAGGCAGCTAAGTATCAACTAATGATGTCGCCAGGAAACCTTGGTAGAATTCCATGTACATTGGCTTGACGCAGGTGCGCCTCTAAGGTTGCGAACGGGAAACGTATCTATGCGTCCTGAGGATATTTTCTACGAGTCGATACATTCTCATAAATTTCTAACGCGGTGCACTTTTTGTCGCGCCTTCCATGGATAAAAGGGCCATGACTAATCCTTGTCCAGACTGGCCTGAGATGGGCGCACACCGCAGGCCCATATCCAGAGCTTCACACGTTCCGCCGCATGATCCTTTCAACATAAGTTTCATCACGAAAATTTCGATCCTTAAAAGCCAAATGTCGGACGTAGGCCGGATGCGTCTTCTTGATTGCCCACACGTCCGCCGCCGCGTAAGTCTCTGTAAGTCCAAGCAGCGATAACCTTCATTTACGGATCGACAGAGCGCTGCTTCGAGTGCCGCGCAAAGTAACCCCTGCTTTGCCTATCTGTCTGCTCATGTTCGCTCGCGCACGACGTAAGTGTATGAGCGCTTACGGAACTGCGGCAAACCCTAAGTAAACGGCGTAAAGGAGTTCTGCTCGTTCCGGCTCGTTCAACAAAATCCATTTCTTTCATGCTAAATATAACGGACTATGAAGATTTCAATCATCAAGACAGAGCTAATTGCTAAATAGGCAACCTTTTACGGTTGCCGCGTGATCTGTGCGCCACTATGCAATTGCATAATGGTTGTCAACAGTTGGCTGCTCGATGCCGTAACCGGACGTATGTCGCATGCACGCACTGTGCACTGTACACGAACCGTAATTGCTTCCTCCTGTACCCCTTCCATGGGGGAAGCCACCTCCTGCATGGGCGTCCTAACGAGGGCCGTCACCTGCTGCGCCCTGCTGCGCGGCCTGATGTGCCCTGCTGAGCGGCCTGATGTGCCCTGTTATGATCTGCTGCGCAAGTTATCGCATAAACACGTGCAAAGCCGGCGCGAGGAAATGGCACAGAACCCTGTCATCACAACCTCAGGCCTGTGTTCGCCTGGGTAACTCCTGGGTAAGGCGCAGTGACTTTTTTTCGAGAAATAATTTCCGAATTCGGAATAAAAAATTGTCCGTAGTCCTGAAGATTCGGTGTTCCGACAAGTTCATTCCTCCAGCCAAAAATGGGCTGTCCATGCCAAAGCCGCTAGAATCCAGGAGACATACATGTTAACCATTTCATAGCACTTAAATGCCATGGATACTGTTCGGAAGGTCCAACAATCAGGATTAGCCTGACAGGGACACGAATTGGCCTGGCAGGGACATTCCGACAGTCAGAATTAGCTTGTCGGGGTGTCGAATTGGCCTGGCAGGGACATTCCGACAGTCAGAATTGGCCTGTTCGGGGTGCCGAATTAGGGAAGCACAGGAATTGTGCGACCGGGGCAGTCCAAAGAATTGCTCTCCCCGACCTTGTGTCCTACCCTCTAACAGATGTCAGGCTCCCAGTGAAGCTCTGACCTGTGCTTATCTAGAAGGTTTAGATGATCGAGGCAAAGTGGGCCGACAAAACCGAGAGCCGCGTGCCCCGCTTTATGTGAAGAGTTTGCAAGGGCTGTTATGATGCTAGGGCTAATTGTTTTCGTACATAGTTATGTGCTGCGTTTCTTTTTGACAAAAATTCCGGACAAAAAAGTCACCTTTTGTAGAGGTGAAAAACAGGGTCACGTTATTTCATAAGCCATCTTAGGCGCCCCGAAATCCCTTAAAGAGACCACTTCCACAGCCTGCGTAGCCCTACATTGCAAAATTACGGTATAATTGGCGTTGGAGTAATAATCTTTAAACAATACCTACTTGCATTACAGCTTTTGTGTCGCTTCACGGCACGGGTTAGCTGAGAGCCACAACGCAACGTACCCCCGATGTAACTGGATGTAAGCATTTTACAGGCCTGTACAAGCAACCCTTGTAAGGAAATGGACGTATCGCCAATGGTTCATTAAGACCTTTTAACCTTATTGTCTTTGTCCTGCCTAACCACATATTACAGCGGTTAGAGCCTCTACCGGATGCATGATACGCTTCCTGCTGGAAATTGACCCGCCCTCGCTGAAGGCTTCGTTTCGTGTGGCTGTTGTATAAATCCTAGTGCCGTTGCGTGATGCACATTCAGCGAAGGAACCTGTGCACGATTTGTTACACAAAATTAGGCGGACAACTAACTCAGCTCTCAGCAGGAGCTTTAAAGAGACATAAACTGACAAGTCGTGCAGATCGTACGGCTTGTCCCAAAATCCAGTTCAAAGGACGGCTGACTGGACTTAGCTGAAACAGACTCTATTCCAGAAAAGTGGCGAATCGTGGTCCATACGAGTCAGCCACCTCAGCATCTTCATGAGCACCCTCCACACAGTCACTAGAACGGTTCCACCCTCCCTCCAAGCCCTGTGAAATGCTCGACTCCTCTCACCGGCAGGGCATTTGTTCGATTCGACTTCTCTGGTCACGAAGTAGTGAGGGCAACACGCTTGCGAGCAGGCTCACAAGCTCACATGGGCTCACCGCGCTCAGATGGATTTGCTGCATTCGGCTAAGCTAGCTGGCGAAGAGTGGCAGCATGACCACTGCAGCTCAGCTCCCGACCTTTTCCTTAACAACATAGAGGAACTCCCTTTATACCGTGTCCTGAACTTGTGGCGCGTCCGTTTCAGGGCCTGACGGCGACAGTGTGATTTCTAAATGGTGAGGGTGCCCGGTGACAGGCACACCAACCAGGCTCCAACCGATGCGCGCTTCTTGCTGTTGTTGTTCAACCTGGTTAATCAAGATTCCCAGTGTGCCCTCAAAAAACGACATGAATCAGAACGTCCCAAGGCATCCAGCTCTTTCTTCATCGATCCGTCTAACTTTCTAGGTAGCTCTAGGTAGGAAACCCCGTCAGGGTCCCGACTCCCGAGCACTCTGCAGCGGCTCCCAACTACGGCAGGGAAATATGCAGGCCTGCATGTGGCTGGCAGGTGTATCCATCACGTACGTCGTTGCAGTAGCTGTCGTACGGTACGGCACACACGAAAAAATAGCTTTCCGCCAGTGCTCCATAAGGGCTCATACACATACACGCTTACGTGCACCTGCACCTCCATCATCTTGAGCTGCTTTTTCCTGCTGCCAGCAGCTATTACAGCCGCATTTTAAGTCCATAGCAGTGCTCCTCTATCATTAATCGTTCCGAGGCCTCTCCCAAGTTTCCCCCTCATGGTGGCTGAGGATCGGGTGTTCCGCCTTTCATCACTTGCATTAAATTATTAAAGCACCCCAAACGATGATCCGAATTCATTAATGTTTACAGTGCACGGGCGTGCATGATCGACACTGATTACTTTGTGGACAAAGACGCTAAAAGGGGCTAACTTAAAATCCGACCTGTATCGGGGTGCATATCCTCCACCGCCATCGGCAAGCAGTATCTTCCATATCCCGTATGTATGGTATTCCCTACTGTTATGGTGCACACGCCGCTATGGCATTGAGGGTGCTCTTTTGAGGGTGCTCAGGAAACTCGAAGGAATGACCGCGCATGGCAACGAGATACTGGGCGCATGTGAATCAGTGCTTGCCCTCGTCCGAGTGCAGCGAGACGAAGGAGATTACGGCTCTCGTCTCCTTGCCAAGGGGCGGCCTTCGTGAAAGGGCAAGGTTGCGTGAGCACGCATGTGCACAAGCGGGTTCAGAAGTTGCATGGAGCCCATATGAACTGTTGGAAATGATCGACACTCATATACCAGGCAATGGTAGCCACAGTAATAGGACCCGGCTGGAGTTCGGCGCTTTGTTGGTTACGCCTTTCGATTTTCCTTGCAGATGACCACAGCAGTCTTGGCCGAAGAGCTGTTCGCCAAAATACTTAACATGTCACGTTCAGCGCTAGTGAAACCAGCGGCCAGCCAGCGGCCTGAACGTGAGATGCTGAGGAGTGCCGGCGAACCTGGTAGGATGGAGGACCGAACCAAATTGATTGAATGAGGATGGAAGGCGCAGCCGAAGGCCCATAAGTTCATCACGCGCGTGCAACGACTTGAGGCCACGTGAGACCACGTAAGATTTTAAAGACTTTTTGATTTCCTGTGAAGTTCTGCTGTGAAGATTTAAAGCGCGATGAACTAGCATTTCCACGTGCCATTCAACATTGTCTACAATTTTCGTATACAGCGTCAAGCCTTGTCAGTTGATCATCATCATGTACAACAATTAGCGAAATCCAAGGGTTCAACTTCTGTGCCTCGTCACACTCTGCCGTACCGTGGTGTACTTTGCGTTACCATGTTGAACTGAAGTTCATATCCTGCTTCATAACATATAGATTTTACAAAAAAGAGTTCTCCATTATTGGAGGTTTAGTGTACCCTTGGTGGTGCTCATCAGCAATCCCGGGCGTCCGCAAGCTTGGGACATCCAGCCGGGCGGCTGGGACTCCCTTGAATACACGCGAACCTAGCGACGGAAGCTGCGAGTTGTGCGCGCTTTGTCGGCTCCATGGCGTTGTCATCTCACAGCGCGACCCTGCAGCGCAGCGGCAGCGGCGCTTTGCAATGTACTCCGGCCCTTCGCTTTACCAGAAGAACTAGGACTCAGCTATCTCATACGCCTCTTAGCAGGTCGTGTTCTTGCCCGGCAGCTCAAGATGAGCTTGGCCTGCCGAGTTCCAGCCAAGGTAATACCGTGGACCCTTTCGCAGCAGCTGGACGACGCCTCCAAACACTTCTGTCACGTGTTGGGTAAGCGCAGCGACTAGAAGTGTCTTCTTGACTGTAGGTGTAGTAGGGGCGTAGACGTTGCTCTTTCAATGTAATAAAGAACGCGTAGTTTGGTTTTTCAGCTTCCTTATGCTTGAGCCATGAAGTTAGCGTTGTAATCACCAACCAACGTTCGTGGTCGCAGCAACGGCGAAGATGAGCTTCTGAACTCGCTGGTAGAGCAGGAGTCCCCGGAGTCAAAGCTGCAAACCAGCGTAGTACTTGGGGGCTGCATCACGATTGGCGCAGTTGTCGTGGCCAGCCTTCTTGGCCAGGACCCGTGGGGCGGGTTGTCGCTCTCTACGTCCACGCTAAGTGCGGCCGGCATGGGTCTGGTCGTAGCCCTCCCTATGGCAGCGTTGAGAATATGGAGCTGGACGCCCACTGCAGCTCGTGCAATTCCTGCGCTTCAGGTGAGCACTCCGGAGGACTCTAACGTTCATGTGGAACCTCTTCCCCGTTACACCTCTAAAGCGCGTGTACACTGTAGTGACATATCTATGGTAATATCATCTGGAGTTAACTCCGTTGACTGTGGCAGCGGTTGCTGTAGGAAATGGACGACTGCGTGTCTGCCATACCCGGCTAAAAGCTTAGTGTAGAAGCATATGTTGGGCCCTGCAATTTTGCTGCATTGAAGACCAGATTCAACGATTCCGTTGGGTCCTCTTGTTCTGCTCGTGTTCATTAGCGGCATGCCCTTGTTCATTACCGGCAGGACGTCCATGATGGCCAGTTGGAGTTGCACAAGCCGTGGTTGGCTAGCATGGACCGCAGCCAAGTGTTCACGTTGATGGCCTTGGAGGTGTTGCCTCTGACCATGCTCTTGTTTCCGGCAGGCCAGGCAGGCATCATGGCAGCTGTGGCGATGTACGGACAGGTATGAAGGACTCCCCAAGTGCGTGTGTATAAATGACGTAGGCTGGTGCTTGCGTGGGCTGTATTAATGATTTTCTTCCTAAGCTGCCTTCACCGTCTGCCAATGGTGATGGACATACGTACTCGGTCTGTAAGCGCTGCAGACGTAGGCTGGTGCTTGCTTGAGCTGTATTGATTCGGGCATGTTGCACGTGAAATGTATTACAGCAATTGTACGATTACTGTTTGTGTGCTATTTGTGCACGATGATGGAGCAGTTCCTGTGTGACCCAGATTCATCCAGTTCCCAGCTGTACTGCGGCCGTGGTGGCTAGTGGTATCGCTGATGTTGACTTAAGTGCCAGCAACTAATAAACTTTGGGGATTCAAACTTCAATTGGGTTTATGCCAGGATAAATCTGCGGACAGCCGTGAGCTAAGTGCGCTTCATTCTGTACCTTGTGAAGTACTGCACAACTATCTCTTTCGTCGGACACTTTGTCCGTTTGTCCTTCGCAGCTTCTGAACGGATCAAGTCTGGATGCTCCATCTCACGAGTCGTACCTAACGTTGTTGGCGCTCGTGCTGACGGCACTTGTGTCCGGTATGGGCCGTGCCATGGAACTCAGCGTGTCGGAGGAGGAGTACGAGCTGGTGCAAACAGCTGCACGGAGCGCCGATCGGTAGGCTTGCTCATATGTTGATGTTCACAGCTTGTATTACTTCCAAACTCGTAGCTCGTAGAACCGCTGGATCGGCGCTGCAGCGGTCGCCTACTATGTAGCTGCTATCGCGACCATCTAAATTTTGGTGAATCCCTGCATTACCCCTTCGGGGCTTTGGGGCCCGCTAATCCGGTTGTCATGCTAGCCAATGCCTCCGAAATTAGCGTCAGCCTCGCGTTCAGTTGGAAGTTCAGCTTCCGCCACCAGCACCATCGAATCTGATACATTAATGGCAGAGTCGTCTGTACTCGTGTATAGTCAGCACGAAACCCATATTTACAGGGTCCTTCCATGTTTCATGAGCTGGGGTAAAACTACCTTAATGGCCAGCGACGAGGATGACCAAGGTGCATATCTTGGCTTGGTGCTGTCGTCTGCTGCTTGCCTGACCTTCCTTTGCCCCGCAAATCCCTGTCTGGGCCCCCTCGCCGCTTTCCGGACCCGCAGGTACTACCGTACTGTGGCTGCTGACATGCACACGAGCCCCGCGGAGGCTTCCCGTGCCGCTGAGGCGTTTCGTTTCGTGGCGCAGGCATGGGTGCAGACCAAGGGCGAGGCGTCCCTGCTGGCAGGGGTCATCACTGTGGTTGATGTATTGGTCCTTGGTGCGCTGTGGCACGGCACTAGCAATTTAGCCGCTCCGGCGGCGGTCGCCTTGGCAATCAATGCTGTGGATTACTGGCACCTGCATAGTGCGGTCCTGCGGAAGGAGGCCAAAGTTGCGGGCCGCACAGGGAGTGGCTCCGGGGGCAACTAAAGTTATGAATCAAGTTATTTTCGGCGGCATAGTTTGTGAGTCAAAAGGGTACGCAGCTGCAACGTTGTGAACAGGAAGCTATCTCGGTTTTGTATTGGGCTTGGAAAATACTTGATGCGCACTCTCAGCTCGAAGGCAAATGTTGGTCGTGGTTTTGGTTGAGGGGAGGCGGATGTCGGGGAAGCCTGAGGGGGGTATGATGCGTTCCCTTTTTCATTTCCAAGTACGCTGGAGCAACGGTCAGCAAGGAGTATGTATGGGCTGCGGTTTGCGCACATGTGAGTGGACCTAGTGCACTAATATCCATCTGTTTTTGATTGTATCTCGAGTGTGAAGATAGCTGTTCAGTTTTGTTGTGGTGGTGTCAACACCACGTGTTTATTCTTTGTGGAACGGCAAAAAATTGGCGGGCTCTTATTGGCGTTGGCTGGGGCTTTCCATCAAAGCGGCATTACGGCGAGCCCAAGCTATCTGGATTGCGCTTGATTGCATAGCGTACGACGGAGTACGGCGTCTCCTTTTATGGATTTCCAATTTGACAAAATACGTCAAGGTCAGATGAGAGGGCGCGTGTGTCTCCTCTGCTTGCCGAGGGCAGGGGCTGAGCGAGGTACGACGTTTTTCGTGAGTGGAATGTCTTTACGGCTGCTTGTGCCTTGCACGTTTGAAACTACAGATGAGGCGAGGGCCATCGAGGCCCTTGGTTTTGGTACACGTTTTGTTTGGGATAAAGACTGGACCTTGCGAATGCTGCTGCATGGGGTTACTTGGGAGAAGAATAGCGTGTTTAGCGACGGGAGATAACATGTGGACAGCTGAAGAGAAATACAGCTGAAGGGCGGGATAACGCGACATCTTGTGGTCAAACACAAGGTAGGTTGGCGGCCCTGCGAGTGCTGCGCAGCTTTTTGACGTCGATTGATGCGCCGTGCGAGCGGGATCCCCACGCGAAGGGTAGTGATTGCGAGGCGTCGGCGCCCTCATTGTCGCCTGAGTAGGCAACGTGCCTCCTTTACTCTTCGCTGCGTGAAGAGGTGGCTGTTGGTTCGGCACTGCGTGGCGTGGTGCGCCATGTCGCCTAGTGGAACAGTTTGCCGAGCCTATGACCCGGTTTGCCTGGGTCTGCAAACTTTCTCTTAAACCCATTATTATCAGAACATGCCCATGTGGGTTCAAAGGGAAATCGGGAGGTCCTTGAGCTCTTGTTGGCTGGGGTGTGCATGTCGGGGCGTTTGCGGCTTTTGCAACGGCGCGCTATCTACGCCTTGATTTTCCGTCGCTGTCACCACACACCGACGCTGCGTATTACTTAAAATGCATCCGCGATTGTTTGGATGTTGTTATATCTAAAGCAACGGCCAATCGCTTACGGCACGCTTTTTGACTTTTGAGGTGCTATGGATGAGTCCTTGCGGGACGTCGTCGAGAAGTCGACAAAGATGATGCGTATTATGTTTTGAGGGTGTTATATCTCTTCGCACAAGCTTTCGCAGTATCATGAGCGCCATAATTATTTTGTCAGTTTCAACGTGGAGGTTTCATTCGCAGAAAGGAGTCGGGAGGTGCTGCTACAGCGTTATCCACCCATGTGCTTGTTTGCGCTGGTAGGCGCGTTATGTCCACATGGCTGAGTTTTGTGCGTTTGTTGTTGCATACGGCAATGGTGGACAATGCTCTACGTTTTGCCCTCCTTTTGCCTTTTTGATGCGGACTGGCGGTTTAGGGATATGATGCTTTTGTCTGGCCTTCCCTCGCCAGCTGGTGTTGTTGCCGCCCACGGCTCTTTTGGTGTTTGGTGTCTGTGTGATGTTTCACTTAGTGACGTTCGTCGGACGCAAGGACGGCGAAGAACGCCAGAAGAATCTAAAGAGTTACACTGCATATGGCTGAGAGTTGTCATCCGATGGAGTTCGGAAAAATGTGCACCGGGTGACAATTTGCCACGGAGGGCTCTGCTTTGCTGAGTGCGATCGTGGCACAGGGCTTGCCGGGGTTTTTGCCATGATGGCATTGAAGAAGGTTGCCCTCGATGGTTTACTTATCCAGACAATAACCAGACAAGTCTGGATAGTATAGCCCTGCTAAGCAATCTTTTGCTGTTGTCGTTAATTGTCGTTAGGTTTTATTTCTAGTTACGTTTCGTGGGACACTGTTTTGAGTTAACGGGCTTCCTTTAGCCTACGTTAATTGATTTTGCTAATTAATACACGTTGTCCGGGTTGCCTGGCGGGTTGAGAGCCGTCATGGCACGGCATTGCTGTGTAACAAGTTAGCGGATCGAATCCGACCTTTTCCTAATGTCAACTGAATTATGAATTCCCACTGAATAATGAGTTCCCACTGCCCGTCACAATGGGAGTTGGTTTTACCCGAGTGCTAGCCAACATGGTAAAATTAGCAATTCTTCGCCATGTAGATAGCTCCAGCACAGTTTCCATGACGGGGATATGCCAACACTTTTCATATATTTCATAAGACCCAATCGGAACGCCAGCAACTAAAAAATAATGATATCACTTATTGCTACTTTGAAGTTAGCTGTCACCTCGCAGTTCACTTCCCTTAGCCGCCAAGATGCCACATCTGACAGGTGTTACTGTTCCAGCCTTGGCGGCTGTCAATGTCGCAGAGGATGGAGAAGTATCACGCGGAGCCTTGCTGCTTGGCTCAGACCTGCGATCAAGGTTCGCTGTGTCGGACGGCCATTCAAACATCTCGTTGTTTGACGACGCATCAAGCCTGACTCCAATCATCAGGTCCTTCACGGAATCTTCTTCTACTAGGAAAAGTGACGCTACCTCCTTTGTGTCGTTTGTTAGCGTATCTCCAGCGCATGACGGAAGCGGTGTCTTCCTGGCTTTGGCAAGTGGGTGTAAGCTAAGCATTCTCTCTTGGGAAAAGAATGCGGTGGTTTCTGAAGAATACAGGGACGCTGTCAGGGAGCTAGGGACGCTGTTATCGACAGATCCGCACCGTTGGATGGGCGCCTGTTGGCATCCCCATCTCGGAGGGCTGTTAGCAGCCATCTGCCAGGTACGTAAGCCGTTAGCCATCTTATCAGCAATCTCTTTTCCCTTGACATTACAGAGCGGGGTAACCAGCATTTGGCAATGTGGCAAAGCTAGTAAACCGCAACAACGGCAACAATAACATCAATTTCAATTCTAACAACCAACAAAACGTGCCAAGGAATACCAGACTCTCAATAGGCAACGACACAGAACGTGTGCAACGAAGATGTTTGGAGTCGGGCAGCAGTCCGTACGGGCAGTCTTCCACATGAACTTGTCGTACCGTATCGCAATTGTATTCGACCTGAACTTATCGCAACGACCCTGTCACCCCGTGAGCTGTGCCCAACAAGAGACCGAGTGACCTGTTTGCAGCTCTCTTTGAAGTTCATAAATCTGCTTCAAACCCACGTGCCAGGGCTGTGGACAGCTCCCGGACACTCAATGAAAAGCTTCCCAAACCCACATGCGATATGTTTCCTGCCCTCGCGTAGTGCCGTAGTGTTGTTATTGTTGTTGCCGGCGGCTTCTTTTGCATGTCCCCAGGCGGAGGTACGGCTGGTGCTGTGTACAGCACCCCAGCCGAGCCCCTTGCCATGCAAAGGCCCCGGCGCACACGGCCGAAGCGACGACAGCCCCTTCGACGGCGGCGACGTGCCCAAGCAGGCATCGTTGCAATCCGCCAGCAGCCAGCCTTCTTCCTCCGAAACCGGGGGCGAAACCGGGGGCTCCCTAGGAAACCGGACGACGGCTAGAGCTGGGACTGGTTCCGGAGCTCGATATATGCCTGGATCTGGAACCGAAACCCATTTGTTGGAGCCACCCCCGCCGTCCGCTGCAGCGGCGTCCCCCAACTCCCCAGCTGGTGTGCTACTGCTGCCCTTGTCCCGGCTACAGCCCCCTGCTACCGCCGACGGAGGCGGGGGCTCTGCCGCTGCCACAAACCCCCGGCCGTGTCCCTCAGCGCAGTGCCGTGTGGCGTGGGTGGGTGACGCGCAGGGTATGATACCGTACGGCACTGGGGACGCGCACGGTGTGGCCGTACAAGAGGCGGTGACCGCGTTGCCGGGAGGCTTGGGTGGGGCTGTTTCGGCCGGGGGTGTGTTCTCGTTAGTGGTGGCTTGGGGGACGGATCTGGAGCTGGTGTCTTGGTCCGCAGCTGCGGTTTGGAACGCAGCGGCAGCGGCGGAAGCAACGACGGAGTCGTCGGTCGTACAAGGCGCTGTAGCGGTTGCCCCCGCCGCCGCCGCTGGTGCCGGCCCCGGTAACAAAAATGGAGGCAGCAGTCCAAGGCGGTTGCATTTAGCACCCTCGAGCAGACGGAAGCTCTTGCTTGGTGTTCCCGGGCCGCTGTGCGCCTTGTCGCTCGGGCCGTACGGCAGTGTCCTGGCCAGTACGGAAGCACGCTTAACGTTGTCGTACTCACAGCCACCTGCAGGGCGTGAGGGGTGTGATGCCGGGGAGGCCGGGGTGGCGGCGTCGGACGGCGGGCAGGCAGCCGTTGTGACCCAGAACTTCCAGCAAGGCAATGGATCCTTCTCGACTTGTTCGCCATCTGAACTCCCACAGCTCGGTACGAAACTGCAGAAGGAGGTCAGAGGAGCTCCTGGCGGCGGCGGCGGCGGCGGCGGCAGCAGCTTCCGCAGGCTTGCTCAGGCGCGGGAGGGATTGGATCCGGAGGAAGAGCGGGTGGGAAGCGAGGTAGAGCCGAGGCAGGCGCAAGGAGAGCCTGAGGTCATCGACTTGCGAGGTCGGCTATCGTCAACGCAGCCTATTGGCTCGCAGCTGGTGGTCAGACCGGGGGCCGCCGCCGACGTCGACGTCGACGTCGACGGGGCCGCCGCGTTGCCAAGCCTCTTCAACATCGCCGCTGGGCCCAGCCTGTACGACGGTGACGACGATGATGGCGGTAGTGGCAATATGGGCGGCGCCAGCAGATCCCGGCCTTGTACGGCGGCGCCAGTGCCGCCGGCGGTGGCGGCTTTGCCGAACCAGTTCCTCCGTGCATTGGGTACGGCGTCGGCCCCTGCCGCTACGGCTACTCTGTGCGTCGTGTGGCCAGGCCGCGGCATCGGCCGCATCGGCCAGGAGACCTATCGACCGCTCCATGGCGATCCGACTCCCCAACCTACCTTGGCCGCCGCCGCCACAGCCGCCGCCGCCGCCGCAGCGATCTCTAACCCAGAAGACAGCTCCAAGCCTGACGGGACCGCCGCCAGGGGCGTCAGCAGCGACGACAGCTACTGTGCCGGCGGCGGCGGCGGCAGCGGCGGCGGCAGCGGTGTCATCTGTAGCATGGCGCCGTTGCCACTTCCAAAGCCCGACTTGTTGAGCTGCTGTGGTGCTCTGGTGTTGGCGGCTAGCAGCCTGGGGCCGCCGGGAGTGGCTACGTTCCGGTTGGCGCCGCACGGCGGCGGCCTAATGCCGCTGGCGTACCTCACACCAACCTGGTCTCTCGACGCGATGGGCATTAGCCGGGGGCGCCTCCATGGCCTGGCGGCGGCGCTCGTGCCGTCGAATGCCACAGCCGCCGCAGCAGCAAGCGGACCAGGGCTGGCTCGGGGCGACGGCGGCGGCGGCGGCGGTGGAGCGGCCGGGGAGCGGCCGACGACAGCGGCGGAGGCAGAGACGCCAGCGGTGCTGTCGACGGCGGCAGAGGCAGCGGAGGCCGTGTTGGTGCTGGTAGTCGGGGAAGCGGAGTCACCTCCGGCAGGAGGCGGTATCTTCGGGTTTAGCCGTTCAGGGCAGGCCTTGGGACAAAAACTTCGGCGGCTTGTGACAACAACGCATCCGCTGCCGCCGCCGCTGGTCGCCGCCGCCACCGCTACCGCCACTGCACCGCCGGCCGCCACCGCCGCCGCCGCCGCAGTTTATGCGCCCTCGCCAGCTTCTGTGGCTCGGACTGCTGCCACTGCCGCGGTTGCTGTGGATTTGGGGGTAAGGAGCGAGGATGATGACGACACCTCGGCTATACGGGAGACGGTGTCGGGCTCGGCGGCGACGATGAAGCTGGCAACGGCGGCCGCGACATCATCGGCAACCGACGCCGTCGCCGCCATTGTCGTTGAGCAGTTGGCGAAATTGTTGGCCGAATTTCGGAGCCACGTGGACAGTCGGTTGGACGAGTTGGTTGGCAGCCTGCAAGTGAGTGCTGTACACGGCATGGTGCGCGAGGTTTGGGATGGGGAGGGCCAAGAAACGGGTGGGGAGCTAATGTGCGGGGTTGCGTGTAGGTAGGTAGGTAGGTAGGCAGGCAGGTAGGGAGGTAGGGAGGTGGGTGGGTGGGTGGGTGGGTGGTGGGCAGGTAGGTAGGTAGGTAGGTAGGTCTTAGATCACACTGTGAGCTGGTAAAGCCGGGGGCCGCAGCCGAAACGCAGCGGAGGGGTCGGGGACACGCAGCACAAGCCGCGGCTAGTCTTGTACGTATGTATGTATGTGTGGTGTGGGCACCAGGCGGGTGGTAGGCGGGGGGCCCCCAGGTTGGGTCGCAGTGGTGGGGTGGGGGGAAATCATGGGGGGGGTTGTCAATGTGTTGTGTCCGCGGTGGGGGTTTGAAAGATGTGCAGGCGGGGCGGAGGCAGACTCTCAAGCTTTTGCCTAATGGCAAAAAGATAAGGGAAAAATCATATTCGAAACGGGGGTAGCGGATTTAAGGGGTGAAAAGAGAACTTGGTAGTCAGCTTCTTAGAAGGAGCCGAAAAGGGCTCTCGGCCCCGGTGCAGCCAGCAGTCACCCCCCGCAGTATTCCGCAGGAGGAGAGGCCGTACGGCATTGGGCTGCAAGCGGAGGAACGGTGTCGTGTGCTCCTTATTATGGATAGCTGCTAGGGCCGATTGCAGCTTCCGGCAGCGTTGGAGTGATGATGTATGGATCTGGTGTATACACACCACTTGCGGCTAAGGTGCCCATGCAAATCCATGGGCGGTGCATGCATTGCGCGCCGCCTCTTCATCTCAACAAGAACGGATGAGCTGAGCATCTATTAATCCAAGGAATTCCAAGGAAAGAGTTGCGGAGTGTGGCGGAGCCGAGCCATGAATAGCTATACCAAGGAAGTCCAAGGAAAGAGCGAGAAAATCGCGCGGCCGCACAGCAATCAAAGCACACGAGCAGAAGCAGCGTGCGCCGAAGCGTAGCATGAAAGGGTTGGTTAGCTACAACCCAACCGGTCGCTTGGGTAGGGTAACCGACATTTCGAGATAACGACACGGTAACCGACCGGTAAGGTTACCGGTCGGTGAACCCCCAAAGTTACTGGGTCGTTATATCTCGTTATGTCGGTTACCCTACCTACCGGCCAGGTACCGAAACGACCAGTTACCGACTACCGGTTTGGTAGGGTTGTTACCGAGTGCAGTGCTGGTGACAAGCAAAAGGATATAATCCGAATGAGTTGCGGCGTGTGACGGAGGAGCTGTATTTCATCATTTGCTGATGGGGCTGTGGCTGGTATGGGATTCGTGATGGTGAGTTGAGGATGCGTTTCGAGGCCGGGGGCGCCGCCTGGCAAAAGCCAAAGCGATAGGCCGCGGAAAACTATTTTTCCGCGCAGATGCATGAAAAATTTACATTTTTCCTTTTTGGTGGTCGATGGAGGCTTGTAGCAGCAGTAGCTTTTAGATGCAATCCGGTGAGTGAAGCGGTCCCAGGCCGCGAGCGAGTCGAAGCCATGGAGCCCGCAGGAAGCATCTTCGCCCACAGATTTATGTGAATTTATTCCTTCGGTGAATCGATAGAGAATTGTAGTTGCTTTCACATGCAATTCTCAGTTAAGAGTTTGGCATGCGAGTTCATCATGTGACACTGACGAAGCTGGCTGACTGACTGACAGCAGTGAACCCCGGGGGATTCGGTCCCCCGAAAGGCGCTTCGGGCCTCCGGGGGGCCTCACCCAAGAATGGGCTTAAGATATTTTGGCTGGCATCTGGTTGCTTGGTTGAAGGAGACCAGGACCAGGACCATGCAAATGCAAATGGTTTACGGCGTCTGCCGATGAATTTCCCGTATTTCGGCTGTGATGCATTTGAAGTCCGCGTTCTGGCGCATCATGCCCACGCTGCACGATGATTGTGTGTGAGTGTGTGTGGGGGGGGGGGGTACAATGGGCTTCAGGCTTGTGAAGAGTAGAGCCAGCGGGCCAGCGGGCCGTGCATTTTTATTACTGCACCTGAGACGATGGGGCACAGTCAAGACACCCTCACCCAGACCAGACAACGCAAGTCACCTAGAGAGCAGAAAGCGAACGCAAAGGGAAGGAAGGCCCAGAAACCCGTGACAACGGGGAAATTCCCTCCATTTCGGCGGCCCAAAGGCCCCGGACACGCAACAGAAGGGCCACCAGCAAATACTGGCCGGAACTTGCACGTTGTTTCTAAATGAGGCCTGCGCCCCAAAAGTCCCGAAAATAAAAGAAATCGAAACAAAGAAGTGGATTGGCTAATAGCTAATCGTCCATCGGTGCCCGCTTTCCTGAGCATAACGACTTGTTCGCAAGAAAGGGTGATGTGACCCTGCCGAATCCCATCCTTTCCGTGAAACTTCCAGAGCTGCAAAACCCCGAAGGCGGCCTCCATAAGTCAACAACAACTCTACCCATGGCTCCTTTCGTAAGGCAAGGGCCAGGTATCAGTGCCGGGTCATTGTCACAATTTCAGATAAGAAGAAACACAAGTTTTACTCGGAGTTTCCGTTCAGTTTTTTCGTCACTCTCCACTTTCCTCAGAGGAAGGATCCATATCACAACATATTTTATGTTCTCTATGAAATTCATTACATACAAATTGTTTTAACCCTTGTAAAAGGAAAGGTTCATCGGGTCGCCCTCGGTTCTGTGCCGTGGTGCATTTCTGGAATGGAATCCGAATCCGAATCCAACTGAAAACTTCCACGTGCTTCCTTGATTTGGAAACCGGGGCTGCAGGCTCAGACTGCCCGTCTCGAGCGGCTGGAGGCGATGCATGCTGGGCAAAGCAGCTCGACGATTTGAAGAGCGGGAAGAGCTTTACCGTATGGTGGTGTTATCGCGGCGCGTTGGACTCTCGAGGATATGGGACAAGGAGGGTGGGGTGGGATCGGCGAGGATCTCATTTTGCTGGGCCTCTAGAAGCCTCTAGAAGCTTCTAGGAGATCTAGAAGCAGCTACGTATACCGAGCCAGCAGGAAGAAGGCTTTGTAAAGGTTTGCCGTGAAGGTAGGAGAGATGCGGAGAAGGGAAAAAAGGGAAGGTTACGCCTATGTCGGGGGGTTGATGGGTACCGTAGTTGTGATGAATGCGAAGGAGTCCGTTCTTCCGAAGTGTGTAGACGCTGTATAAAAGAGGCCTGAAGAGAGGCTATCTATTTAGTTGTAGGTGGTGTTGGCTATGATGGTTTTACAACGTTTTCATGAATTCTTTTTTGCGCAAATGCAAAATGCGTTGCTTATTTGGGAGTGGGCATGTGGGTGGAGAAAGCGGAAGATGTCGTGCCGGGCTGATGCATCCTGCCATCTGTTGGGAAGTGGAGCTGCGTCGACGGGTGCCACCCGCGGAAGTTGACACATGGGAGATGCAGTAAGGCTGCATCGCATGGTTCGCAATTCCCTATTAACGAACTAAAACGTCGGCTAATTGTTGTGGCCTCTCCAAGGTCCGTGGACAGTTTGGAAGTCAGAGGTGTACGGGTACGGTGGAATCGATTTGCCTGTTTACACTGTTACCTATGGATTGTTTTTGGCCATCCTCTGCAGCTATGAGACTTGTAGAAGCTTGAGGAACGAAGCCCAGGCACTTGCTCTATTCGCCTGGTTACCAAGGCTCACGGAAATGGCAGACGCCCCTAAGTTCAACCTCCGCAATCCTGCAGTGAAGCGGATAATGCAGGTGTGAACTTATATTAACATGGTTAGGTCTTGGTGTTAGCTTGTCTGCTTAAACTTTGGGGAACGAGGGCCCCGTCATTGAAAACTTCTATCCATTCCGCAGGAAATAAAGGAGATAAAACAAGATACAACAGGGGACTTCTTAGCTGAGGCTCTGGAGGTAAGGGCACAGTTGCAATGGCTCGCTCGAAACTGCACAGCGTGTCCCCAGGCGATGCCTGTTTTATGGGCACGAAGAATGATTAATGTTAACTTTGCAATCTGACAAATGACTTTTTTGTAGAGCTTGCCCTAATGGGTTGCTCCCTGTGCCACACAGACCGACATCTTCGAATGGCACTTCGTTATTCGTGGGCCCCCGGACACGGAATTCGAAGTGAGTTCTTTCTCTGTATGCAGATATATCCTTAAAGTCTAAGCTGGCCTCTGCCAGCCTGCGTTACCAGTTTGGGACGTGTGTTAAGGATTCTCCAAGACGTTGTAAATCAATGAATGCAAATGATTTGCAAATAGTTACTGGGAAAGAACTCAACGTGGGCGCGCGGTCATCACCTGTCCATCGCAGGAAGGTTCAGCCCACCTCTTAACTTTGTTTTTCCCTTTGAGCGGACTAAGTGTTGGGAAGTCTTGGTCCCGCTTGGATTGACAATCTCTGTGTGCAAAATCCATTTGGCTTGGTTAGTGGCAACATCTCAGTTCCCGACATCGGCAGACGCCCCTTCGCTACCAGGAAAACCTTGCGGTATACTCCACGCAACGTTTTACGTCGTGACAAGGCTAATACTGCAACGATGGAAAGTCCACGCCCTCCTTCCCCTCGGCACCTCCAGCCATCTTCCCCCCTTTTGGCGTACTACTACTGTAATCTGGACGTCGGTCGGCAGTTGTGCCCCTCGCTCTTTGCCCCTCATATATTCACCGCCCGTTCAGGGAACCTTCTGTCCTCATTCGTCTAGAGGGCTTCTTGTCCGGTGTTTTTAAACCGCCCAATAACCGCCACGTCACTTGGCCGAACCAGAACTCCCAACAACATAACTCGCAAAACCTTTTTTTCAACACAACCTGTCAAATTCTTACGGGGCTCATTTGAATTCGACATGCTTCTCCCGCTTTGCAACCCGTCTGGCTGTCGCCCACAGGGCGGAATTTACCACGGGCGAATTCTGCTCCCTGCCGAGTACCCCTTCAAGCCGCCGTCCTTCATGATGCTAACTCCCAACGGTCGCTTCGAAACCAACATGAAGATCTGCCTCTCCATCTCCAGCCACCATCCAGAGCACTGGCAGCCTTCCTGGAGCGTTCGTACGGCACTAACTGCCCTCATCGCCTTCATGCCCTCTCCTGGAGCCGGAGCCCTCGGCGCACTGGTACGACATCACCACTAGGGAGGCCCGTAGGTTTACACGGAGCGGTACCTCGGCTCCGAAACCCCCTTTCCAACATGCGTTTTGCTTTTTCTTGTGCACAACAAAAGCTACAATACGCCCTGATGCGCTCTCTGTGCATCAAGATGAACACTACAGGAGAAACATTGTCAAGAGCGCGATGGGGGGTGGTAGGGCTAGTTATAAAACCGGCGCTTCCCTCCACTTCAGGATGTATACCTGAGGCTGTGGGCCAAGTCCGGCTGCTTGTATATATATAAGCTCGATTTCGCCTGGAGGTCTGGCAGTGTAACTCGGGCTGGGCTGCACCCACCATCGCAAACCGTCCCCACCCCACCCCACCCCATCCCGAACAGGATTTTCCGAAGGATGAGCGACGAGCTCTAGCTGCCCGCAGCCGCGTGGAACCTCCCCGCTTCGGCAGCGCTGACCGGCAGCGGCTCATTGAGGAAATGCACAACCGCATGGTGAACATGACTTTGGCGTCTTCATCATCGACATCGACACCTTCAACAGCTACTGCTACAGCTACTGCAGCTGCTACTGCTACTAGGGAAGTGCGCGTGACCGCAGATCAGACAACAAGCACCAGCAGCAGCGGCGGTGATGGTGGTGATGCCGTTGCAGGCTCGGCCGTGCAGGTGGGGAATATCTGCAGATGGAAGGGAGGGGCACGGTGAGCATAGACGTGCAGCTCGGCACGGCGGTTAGGAGGCGTCGCGAGGAGGGCGCGAGTTCGGTGTGTTCGGGGCCGGCCAGAAGGAAGGGGAGGCCTTGTCAGACCACGGAGACAGACAGACAAACAAACAGACAGACTGACAGAGTGACTGACAGACTGACCATATCACGATACTAGATGCTTCATGCGAACGGCGGCGCCTACTTCTGCCTCTGAATAAGGACCGCTGAGCAAGCAAAGCAAGGCAGCTAATTACCTGAATAGCTAAGTCCCGTCCGCACTATGTGGCGAACTGAGCCACGTTAGCCCTTAAGGGTGTCTGTTTACCGATTCCGGACCTCTTTTAAGGCAACACCATAAAGGAGCACCGCGGCACTGTGCTGCAAATATCATACACATGCGCGCAGGATCGAAACCCAGGGAGGGCGGCACTTGGCAGCTCGGGGAGTGCTCCGACAGCAGCGGCGGCGGCGGCGACGGCGATGGCGGCGGCGGCGGCGGCGGCTTCCGCGTCGGAGCGGCAAGACAGTGGTCAGCGGGCTGCTGCAGCGACGGGAAGCAGCAGTAGCAGCGGCAGCGGCGATACGGGGAAGGTCTTCAGCGACTACGGCGGCGGCAGTAGCAACAGCGAACTTTCCGTGGGCACGTCAACCATACCCGTACGGCCCGCCGACAATGTCACCGCCGCTGGCGACCAGCACCTCCGGAAGCGCTCCCTCCCGTCAGCGCAACCGCCGCCGCAATCGGCGGAGGTTCGTCCCCAGGTACCCGCCGTCGCCGCCGCATCCTCCGCCGCCACCGTCACAGGAGTTGCGCGTTCCTCCACCGCCGCTATGGCGCCGGTGGCGGCGGCGACGGTGGTGCCCAACGCCGCCGCCGCCGCGGCGGCAGCCGCCGCCACCAGTACAGATCATATGCTGACGGCGCTCATGTGGGCCCTATATTTCGGAATCGGGGCTATTTTGCTCCGCAAGGTGATGGGCGTCATTGGCTTTGACCTCAACGAGTTGATGCAGTGAGGTGTTCCACTCGCTTTCACTCTCGTGGGAATGCGCTTTAGTGCAGTGTGTGTGGGGGGTTGGGGGCTTGAACATCAAATCTCTCTTCTGTAATCTAAAGCTGGCTAAGTTGGCGGTATTCCCTCATTCACTGCACATACGCTGTATGTATATTTTAGGGCGCCACAGATCGCCGCAAAGCCGCCGCAAAGCGCAATACAGGATCTAGCCATCCATCCCGGGTTTTACCCTAGGGAATTACATAGGAACCAGATACTAAGTACGTACTCTTGGCTTTGGTGGAGAAACCTGGAAATCTGGTACTACCTTCTCAACCACTTGAGTTATGGGCCCTATGGGCCATCAGCGGGCGTTACGTCATCGCGGGGGGGAGGGGTGTCGCGGAGCCTGACTGGTGCCGAGGGGGGGTCGGGCCGCGGGTTTGGTGGGGGGGGGGATCCTGCCTCAAAGGATGGAGGGGGAGGAATTACTGGGGTTTGGGGGATAAAAGCTCTTCTTGGGGGGTGGGGGGTTGGGGGGTGATGAAGGGACGGTGGCATGCAACCGTTTAGGCGCGGCAGCCGCCGGTTGCGAGTTTTGTCATGAAGGCAGTACGTTTACCTCGGTAGGGTTACAAGGTCTCTTGGTGGTTTTGTGTGCTGTTCTTTTCGAGCCTTGTTTTGATGTTTGGTGGTGATGATGATGATGATGATGATCTGGTGGTAAAGACTCGCAACGGGAGTTGAGCTCGGGGCTCGGGTGGTGCAATTACACTTTTTGCTGCCGATAAAAGATCGGAAATGTCCCCCAAAAGATTGGATAGCTGATGATCCTCCGCTGTCCTTAAGCCGCGGGGTTACGTGTGATGTGGCACCACAGGAGACGATTGTGGGATGACGTTTCGGGTTTCTTGTGTCTTGTTGTCCTCATTCATGAACACGTTCGCAAGGGGAATGGCCATGCGTGAGTTGGCTGGCCGGCTTGTTTTGTTTTGTTTTGTTTCGTGTTTGCCTCCGGCGGATTCGGGCTGAAAGGATTGCCCCAAATGCCGGTAGTGCGTTAGCCGCAAGGAAGGGAAGGTGAGGGTGTTTTAGGACTGCGGGTCGGAGTGCACTGCCTTGTAAAGGATTGAATGGCGACTGGCGGGGAAACCAAGCGTTTGTTGTTTTGTGGTTATGGAAAGGCTTCGAGGTGCCTGCAACTTTAGTGAGTACTGTTGTGCATATGCATCGCTGTTGAGGAAGTTTTTGTAATTTTTCCTGATGACCACAAATGTTCCATACTCATGGCCGCACATAACCAGGACATCTCATTTCAACGGACAGATCAGCTCTATATTAGTTTTGTGTGAAGCAGGGCGGTAAAGCTTCACCTGATAGCCTGGTAGTCCCTACGTTTCCAAATGCTTCGGGGCAACTGCATCCCTCTAACCCCTATCCCTGCGAAAGACTTATTCGGATTCAGAGCATCCAGTGAAATCTGCCGGATCCATGATCATCATCCATTGCCATAAACGGATCACCATCATCCATTGCCATGATGACATCCACCCTTTTCACGTTCGAGAAAATCTTTATCTGTTGTTTGTCGAGGACGATCCTGGAACCTTCCATGGACACCATGCCACACCTCCGAGTATTTGCTGTGTCTGCATCCGCCGCGTACCAAATTTTATAATTGATTCCTAATTTTATGCAGTGACAATATTATGACAAGATAGTAAACGCTGGAGGTTTAAGCATCAAGTCGTGTCGTGAACGCGCTTCGGAACATAACCGTCTACACATGTCGTGAATGTGACGCCGCTTCAAAAAATTTTGTATTTGCGGCTTATTATAAAACTCACTTTGCCGGACAGACTCCATAGCCATCTTCTATATTGCAAACTGCATAAGCATCTCTTTCGCAAATGAGCAAGCTCTCCGCTCCCTTGACCTGCCTCACGGCAGGTGGTCTTGGAATAGTCTATGCTGCGTTGCAAATGCGCGTAGGACTGCACCGTCTGGGTTCTGGTATTAAGTTTGGAAATGTGACGGCCGATGGCAAAACAGAGGACGAGGCGCTCACTGCAAAGATGCGCGCTGGAGGAAATATGCAGGTTTGTTAAAGGGCCTTAACTATTTTCTGATTTAGAAAAATTCAAACAAATGCAAGCGCTGACCGCGGTCGGGCACGTAGTGCCATGCTTTTGCTCGTGCTACAGTTACCAACTTGGTTACCGGAGTTGGATATCCGGGATGGAGATATGACAGAGCTGTGTAAGTAAATTACAAAAACGGGGCCATGATGTGCAATCCCTGTGCCTTGCAGGAGTATGTGCCGTTTGGCCTAGTCCTGATGCTCCTCATGGAGACTGCTACACCAATGCCGAAAAAAGCCGTTGCAGCTTATGGCGCGGTGCTCGCCCTTTCGCGGCTGAGTGCTGCATACGGGCTCAGCAACACCTTCACTCCGGGCTTCAACGCAGGGCCCCCGCGCAAATACGGCTTCCTGGGCACTGTCGGTGCCCTGATCGCGGCTGGAGCCTACCTGTCCATCCATGCGCTGAAGACTCTCGGGAAATGATGACGATTCTAAGCTGCAAAGGGTTCTAGGGCTCATCCTGAGCCTTGGATTATTTCTTGGGCTGAAGGTTTTATGGCATATTAGTCCGATGCTCGGGCAGGTTCGCTGTTCGACGTGGGCTGCAAAGGCGCAGCGAAGTCCTTAGACACGTGATGACCGCGCACGACAAAATATTGCCACAGTCACTATCATTATTGCTCAGCTATTATGCTGTCTGTCGCGTGTTTCCGCGGGCCGTGCGTGTTGCTGTACGGTATTTGTGATTAAGCCGTTTCTGATCCGCATTTGTACATGCGTCCGTGCTGCTGTTTCTTTATCATCACGTTTGGGCATTAGAGAAGGCCTGGAAGGGGGGGAAAGTTGCCTGCGTGCTCGTGTTTGGTGGCTTCTTTGTTTGTGGCAGCAGAAACATTTTACTCCTGGCAGCTTTGGTTTATAGACAATGTCTTACATATTCCGGATGTAGGACGTATGCAGTTTTGCATGTGTCCTCGCACTTCGAACATTACGAAGACACACACACACACACACACACACATCGGCGGTCGTCCCCGCTGGGGTCGGCTAGGTGCCCCTTGCCAGCGTCAGGCCCGGATCGATATGTAATGTAATAGATACACACATACACAAGTACACTCCGTAACCCCTTCCACTACCAACCGGCGCTGGTTCCGGGGGGTGGGGACGGGGGAGAGGAAGGGGAGCGTCCAGGTAGCTAGGAACCGCTTCCACATGGCCCAGGTCATGAACAGAACGTGGTACGGGTGACGCAGGTAGATGTACACCCTACTACGTGGGCGTGTGCGCGCAGACACGTACCATACGCTACAAGTTTAGAGCGATACGCATAATATAATTACACATATAGCGCTTTTTCGCACAAAAATAAAAGCCTAGACCGTAGTCGTCCCCGCAAAGACCTTTAAGCCCTTGACACCAAACAACAACAAAGCCCCGTAAGCCTACCGAACCCCCCTCTAGGCCTCCTCAAAATCCTTCCCTGGTCGCTGCATTGGTCGTGGTGGTCTTTATCTTTGTCTTGTTTGTGTACTATAATTGATTGATTAGCAGCAGGGGACTGAGGGGAGATAGAGAGGATGTAAAAGTAAAACCAGTAAAAATGCGAATATGTGGGGTGGGAGGTTGCGGTGGTTGTTGTTATTATTGTTGTGCTGACACCGTAGAAAGGTAGGAGAGAAAAGACTTAAAAGCTCGGGGGCCCTGCTGGGTAGATAGATTATTTTGCTGAATACATAGACGACATATATACGATCATCTATGCTCTGCAGTGCTCTGCTACGACCACCGCCGTCTGCTGATGTCGCATAGAAAAAAGTAGCTGTTGTAGGCTACTGTCGCTAACAACCCCCCAGGGAGAATCGCAGATATTTTAGTACTTTACAGTATTGCAGAGGTTTAAGTGTTAATCAACAAAAGACCACGTTTTTCCATGCTGAATTTTTCGCACGGCCCAGTGATGTTTTCAGATCTTCCGCTTGTTATTCATCTCCCCTGATATTCATAAACCGCCTCTGCCAGTGCTGTTGTTACTGCGCTTGTTGTTGTTGTTGTTGTTGTTGTTGTTGTTGTTGTTGTTGTTGTTGTTGTTGTTGTTGTTGTTGTTGTTGTTGTTGTTGTTGTTGTTGTTGAAGTAGTAATGTTCTGCGCATTCGGGCTGCATGTGCTCGTCCCACTATCAGCACCAGCCGCCTGCAGGGCCTGCCATCAGAGCCGCCAGCCGCCGTTGCCACCTGCCGTACTTGCTCTAAGAAGTGACCTTCCCGCATGTCCTTTGAGAGGGGGGAAAATGGATGTGAAGCGGTCATCAAAAGAAAGCAGGTGATTGCAAACGTTTTTGGTCCGGAGGGGTTTGTTTTAGCGAACCCGAGTTCAAATCCGACCCAGGACCGGAAAGAGGAATAAACCAGGGTTTATTAGATCAATGGGTTGTTTCCGCAACTCCCCTATCTCCTCCTTCCGCTCTCCCCCCCTGCCCTCCCCTCATCCCCCAAACCTCTAGATTCACTTTTACTTACCTTTCCCCTCCCAGTAAGATACCCCTCAATCCCCAAACCCCTCCCGGTTTGCTCGGGGACCCCACTTCCCTCCGTACCGTGAGCTGCCGGTGGTGCTCGGCCACCTCCCGCCCCACCCGCCGCTCGTCTGACCACAACGCGTCCGTCTTGTCCACGTACGACATGTAAGACTCTGGGCTCATGCACTGCAGCATAAGGCCAGCCAACTGCCGCCTCTGCCGCTGCAACGTCTGTTGCTGGTTCACCTGGTGGCAGTGGTGGTGGTGGTGGTGGTGGTGGTGGTGGTAGCGAGTGCGGGGTGGTACGGGAGGGTTCACGGCGCCGTGGGAGAGGAAGAGTGGAAGAGTGGACGAGACCCCTCTCCGCGTGGATAAGTCCACGAAACGAGTTTAGGCTCCCAAAGGCGGTGTGCTACATATTCATCATGCATACATACATACATACATTTAGCTGTAGCGCTACCCCCGGTGGGGAACGCTGCTAAGTGCCGACCGTCGTATCTTGCGCGGTCTGATCCGGGGGGGGCTGAGTGCACGAGACTAACCCGCCGTGTGCGTCTGGGGCCCCCCGCTGTGTTTCGGCCCTGTGTCCACCCCAACGTAGTGTAAGTAACAATATGTGGCTTTGATATGTGGGCAGAACACAACAGTGCATGTGTTTTTGGCACATGATTGTCTAATACCATTACCTGATTGACAGGAGTTTTAAACACGTAATCTCGTTTCCTGATGGTCTATATGGCCAAAATGGATCTCTATAGATTGTTGCACAGTCTGAAAACCACTGCCGCCCGACTAGCTCGCCCCCCTCAACCGGCTCAAGTCGGAGCCAAACCAGCTCCAAGGTGGACGAGCATTCGCTCCACCTCAACTCACCCAGCCTCGCAACACCCACCCGACTAATATCATCATCATCATCATCATCATCATCAGAAGCAGCAGCAGCAGCAGCAGCATGATCACCGTCATCGTCATCATCAGCATCGCTCTGCGGCGCTAAGCTCCGAAACCACTCCTGGAACGCCACCGCCACCGCCGGTTCCAAAGATTCTAACGCCAAGTGCCATTGCTGCTGCTCGGCCTCCAGCCTGGCCAACACCAGGCCAACACCGCTGCTGCCAGCAACACCGCCACCGCCGTCGTTGCTTTTTCTCCCGTCACCCCTGCTGCCGTTGCCGTTGAGACGATCAACTGGGATGCCTTCGTCATCGCCAAGCTGGGCTTGTTTCCCGCCAGATTGACTGGCGCCGCTAGCACCTGCACACTGACTAGAAATCGGCGGAAGCGGCGGAAGCTGGTGGTCATGGTGGTTGTGGTGGTTGTGGTGGTTATTGAAGCGGGAGCCGCCGGCAGCTGTGAGTGGACCCCGTATAAGGCCCTCGTAAGCGACTGGGTCGTCCAGCTCGATGCCGTACAGGGGCAATCCTGGTTGCGGACACGGAAGGGAGGGAGGGTGGGAGGGAGGGAGGGTGTCGTGAAAACAAAAACAGGAGGGGAGACTATTACAGTTACCCTTACCGTTACCCTTACCGTTACCATTACCGTTACCGGGAAGCAAAACTAGCCAGGGAAAGTACAGAAGAACGACGACGAGGAGGAGGAGGAGGAGGAGGACCATGTACAAGTGGTGAAATTGTTTGAAGGTAGGTAGGTAGACGCCGCAGCCCCTACCCAACAAGCGCTTCCCTCTTCTGCCCGAAAGCCGCAAAGGGTACTTTTATCCTTTGATTGTTCTCTTCAGTTATCTCTGATGTACGGCCATGTGAGGGTGTGTGCACCCTAACCCCCAGGTTTCCAAGGCGTGCCTTCAGAAGAAGAAGACTTGAGTGACCCTGAGTTCCTTTTCCGCACCTCGGTTCCCAGCCTCCCACACCGCGGCCACTTTTTCACTCAAGACCAGTTCTCGAAACAGGAATGCCGATACCACGTTTCGGGGGTTCAAGGCCGACGATGGCGCCATGTAGTACGGCGATGAATACGACGAGGAGTGAGTTTGGACCGCCAGATCTTGGTTCCGCATCAGCAACAGATCATGCCATGCGAGCCTGAAGGTCAGCTCACAGATAGCAACAGATAGCATATCATATACATAAATTTATATACATATCCTTTTTTGGCAATACAATCTTTTTTGCTATTGTCAGACAGTCAAACAGGCAGATAGACAGGCAAACAGATTGACAGACAGACAGACAGACAGGCAGGCAGGTAGACTTCTAGACAGCAAACCGGGGGGAGGGAATTTAAAGGAAACGAAAGGGGAGGAAAACGGCGGCGTTGGCTGGTCGGAGTTGTCGTACCGAGGTTACAAATCCGGGGTTACAGTCGTACCCTGTTTCAAAACCCTAAAACCCCGTTCGGAGTTACGACTCCGCACACACCGAAATACATAATTACGTAATTATATAGGTAGATAGGTATAGGAGGTGAGTTAATACATCATATATGATGTGTGAAACAGGGGGGTATATCTTCACCCGTGGCAACTACCCTGCGAAACCCTGCCTTCCCCGGTATTTCGGGGCACCCTCATCCAGTCACCCTAGTCAACTTCTCAGTGGATCGCTCAGGTTCCGCACCCACCACCAGCATCCAGCGGAATCTGCCGGGTCGACAGCGGCCCAACTCCATTCCTGGTCGGCTCGCAGGTTAACTTTATCCCAGGTCACCACCGTCCATCAACTAGGGGCGCAATATCTTCCACCATCGGAAAGATTTTTGACCCTGACAGGTCTCGATCCCGGGATCTCCCGGGGGCAATATATATGTTGTATATATACATATATGTATATACATAACTCACCTCCATATTTATCTACCTATATATATAGCTATATAATTCCTACATCTCCTAGGAATGTAACCCCAAGACAGTTACATACAGTCGAATACGAGATATTTTGCCTCAATAGCTCTCGGAAAGGTCCCCAGCATCCGAAACACAATAGTAGGTTGACCGGGGAAATGGGGGGCCGGCCGCCAGTCTGCCCATAGGGGAATGCTTGGGTTTGGATTTGCGAGCCCGCCCAAATCCCATCCACGCAATCACCACCCGCCAAGCCTCGTCCGAGAGCGCTTGCAGGCGGTCGGTCAACCCTTATTAGTGATCGCGGCCTCACCGGTCCTCCAAGTCGATGTGGGTCAGGGCCTCCTGCGCAGATTGGGGGATGCGGAGATCCAGGGAAGGTTCGAGAAGGTTGGATCAGGCCTAGGCCAAGGTGCAGCGTACAGGCAAGTCGAATCGAGGTCGATGTCAGGGCGACATAGCTAAGCAAAGAGCGGGCAGCCGTTTTGTGTAGGTGAAGGAGAGTTTGAGAGTTTGAGAGTTCAGTAGGCAAGAAGAGTTTTGAGCTTTGTTCAAACGCGCTCAAAATGAGCCCGAAACATCGCGCATGGTTTCAAAGGAGGCCGTGCGGGGTGTGGAACAGCTTTTGCAAGGGGGATGTCCGATCGTAGGCAGCAGCTGTCATACCGATGATGTCCTAGGGTTCGCACCTGCAAATTGCCAAGCGGAAGTGAAGATAGCTTCTCAAGTAAGTCCTCTGGTAAGGATTCTGTGAGGTGCACGTACGTGGGCAGAAAGCTGGGCCGCGCTTCCAAAGCTATTGCATCGGGACGGACAGCGTCGATGGCCTCACGCACGAGGCGAAGGTTGGCCACGTCGCGGTGAAATACTCCAATCAGCGCAATAAGCTGCTGGGTTTGCGGCTCTAAAAAATTCAGATGAAACGGATCTCGGAGCTCCTGTAGACGCGCTTCCCATGCTTGACCCCAAGCGTCCGCAATCGTTTGTGGAATGGGACCAAGCTCCTCGGTCACAAAGTAAGCTCTTATACATTGCTGGAGCAATTCAACGGTAGTGCCTTCCGTCTGGGTTGGCGTAGCCTGGCGACGTCTGAGTAATCGGCATGCCGCATAAGGAGCCCATCGAGGGCAAAGTTTTCTACATGGTATAGAGCTATGATTGAGCTTAACAGAAATCATACGGTTGAACACTCTCTACAGCTTCTATTTGCACGCACGCCACGTCCCGTGCTGTCCACCAAAACCGCCGAGCAATTAAGCTGCGTAGCTGCAACGCAGGAATGTTACAAAACGTAACATGGAAACCATAATAGAATGGACGCGGTGCCGGATTCTTCTGCCTAGTGCAGGTGTACTGCATGCAAACGGTTTTTCCACTCTTCGCTACCCTCCTCCCGCTTTAGTACTCATCGGTACTCTCCTACTCTCTACCTAAGCTATCTTTTCACAACAACGCTTGGTTTGCCTCCTGAGTTTCCCGAAAGACAGCTTGCTCAGGCAACTTTGAAAAGAAAGATACGGTACCCTCTCATGCACACATTTCAACAACTGCCCCTGAAACCTCTCCCACACCTCATCTGAATGAAACCCCAAACCACCCCCCAGCCCGTAACCCCAACCCCATCCCCTCAGGGGGCCCCACACACGTATCCGTCACTGCATCACACTCAGTACGGCAGCCTGTACGTCACCGTCGTGGTTCTGGAGAAGCTCTACGGCCGCACCGCGAGGCATCTCCAAAATCTCCATCAGCTGTAGCACCCCCTCTTCATCCAAATTCATCTCCCCGCTACCGCCGCTATCGTCGTCATCGTCGTCGCCCCCACCGCCGGGCCCCCCACCGCCGGCGGCACCCCGACCACGCCCCTCCTCCTCCTCGTCCTCTTCCCCATCAACCAAACCAGGAATGCCACCCGCAAACACACCGTGCCGTGTACCACCGCCACCGCCTCCTCCTGCTCCCCCCCTTCCTCCCGGCGCTCTCAACCAACCCGGCAGATCTCTTCCACCCCCGAAGGGAATGCCCATCTCCGCCAGAATTTGCTGCTCGACTGCGAAATCCGGGCGAGGGGGAGGGGCGCACGGGTTTCGGGTTTCGGAGCTCGCGGGTTTCGTGAGGCAAGGATTTCGGGATGGATTGAAGAAACCCTACCCCTCGTAATTCTTTTTGGAAAAAAGGAACAAGACGATGTGATACGATGTGTCCCCCGTGCCTTGTGAACGTAGGCCTACTCCCAGGGTTGGGGGCTTTCCATAGGCCTCCCGTACATACACGCATGACACAAGATCGGCCCGTACATACACCGGCCCCGAGACTCAAGCCCAAGCCCGACAAGTATACAATCTCAGTTGCCCCGAATTCAACATCGCCCTTGTAAAACCCCCCTATCTAAGTCCCAATGCGTCGTACTGAGAGTACAGCCCGTACTTACTGTCGTACCACGGCCGTACCAAGCCCTGATCCGGACCCCCAGCATCCCGAAGGGCTCGTCCGAGCGCCCGGGCCGTACGCGCGCTCAGGCCTGTAGGCAGCGGTGGTGGCGGTGGTGGCGGCGGCGGCGGCGGCGGTGCTGAAACCGCCGGTGCCGGCGCCGCCGCTTGCCGGGCCTGCGACGCCGTCGCAGCCGCCACAGGCGCGCCTCGCAAGGCCGTAATCTTCATAGCCTCTGCGAACGGGTCTAAGCTCATCTTTTCCGCCTTGATCCAGGCGCGATGGCTTGCTAGGAGGCCCTGGGGGCGGAGCAGGAAGGACGATAATCTCGCTGGGATGCAGTGGCAGTAGCAGCAGCGGCAACACCGGCAGCTGAGGAGGAGGCGATGTAACGCTGATCTGGAGGGGGCGGAGGCGACCTCCTTGGCGGAGTCAGGACAGGACAGGACAGGACAGCACAGGAGCCATCAGCACGCAGGTGCAAGCGCACCGGCGCAATCCGCGGATGGTCCCTCCCCCCGCCCATCTGCATCACGCCTGACCCACGGGCCGCCCCTTCCCAACACCGCTCACCTCCATGAGCTTTATCAGACGCGGGCCCTGCACCCCCAGCCTGGGCTGAAGGACGGCCTGAATGGCAGCCACCACAGCCGGCAAGGACGGCAGTAGCAAGGAAGGCGACGCCAAGCCTGCCGCCGACGCCGCTAATAGCGACGTGGAAGGAGGAGCATAAGTGCCGCCGCCGGCCGCGGCAGTAGCAGCAGGTGGCGCCGCCACTGCCACTGGTGCGCCGGGATTGGAGGGAAGGAGGCTGTGAAACACCGGCGGCGGCGGCGGCGGCAGCGGCCCGGCAGGCGGCGGCAGCGGTGGCAGTAGCGCCGCCATGGCGCTTTTAAGGAGCGGCAGTAGCGTGGGGTGGGCGTTGGCTAGCGGCGTGAGCTCCCTGATGAAGAACGTACGACGTACGACGTAGACCGTGGGAGAGAACGCAATGACACCAAGCAAACGGCAAGTCCAGGGTGGGGAAATGTACAAGATGTACGAGGAAATGTACGAAATCTCCCCCCCATACATACACACACACACACAGCGAACACGCAAAACTACATTTACAAACCCCCAACCCCCCACCAACCCATTCCTCCCCCTGCTTCACCTGCGTGCTAACTCGAGCGCCTTCGCCACCTGCCCTTCCGCCAGCAGCTTGCCGTACTGGCATCGCCGTACATCGAACAGCAGGTGCGGGTGTTCCGCCCATAGCCCGGGGTCTACACTCCCCACCAGGGACAGCACACCGTCCACGTCACCTTCCTGAGGTACGAGGTGAGGTACGAAAGTATGTATGTATGTATTATGCATGTATAATGTATGTATGTACGTGTCTGAGGTATGACGTAAGGGATGATGGAGGTTGAGGTGAGGCGGTTGCGGCTGCAAGGGGAGAAGGCCGGAACCAGAGCCGCGGGTGGTGGGTCCAGGGGTGTGCTGAGCTCAGACGCGGTGTCGTGCTGGGGGCTGACGGCCGGGACCCGGGGCCCGGGGGCACACCCGCCAGCGGCAGTCGGATGATGATCTGGTCCCTGCCTTGGATTACCCCCTCAAGCAGGGCACCAGCGGCGGCTGACGGGTGACGGGGGAACCCTCATCTGAAGTTGACCCTTCGCTTCTTCTTTTTTTCTTCTTCTTCTTTTTCTTCTTCTTGCATGTCATACCTGCCAACGTGCCCTTCCCTCCCACCACCCCCTTACACGGCACGTAATAAAAATTCCCCCCCTTCTGAAGTCGACCTTCTCCCACTACTACACTACTTCCATCAAGTCGCTACGGGTTGGTAACTTCTTACAAATATCCCTGATGCAGTATCTGCCTATTATTAATCCTATTATTACTATATCCGTCTATCTCTGGTATCAGCGGCTTCGTTCATCTGTGGTTCGCTTCGCCCCCGTACACCGTCAACAAACCCCAGACAGGGCCCCCCACACCCCCACGCAAGGCGCCGACCTGCCCCAACCGTAGCAGCGTGGAAAGAACTTCCTGGGCTTGCAGCTCCCGCTCCGAAGCCCCCGTTCCAGATCCAAATCCAAATCTTGAGCTCATCGATGACGAGGACGGCAGCGGCGGCGGCATCGCCTCTGCCGCCGCTGCAGCCGTTACACCGCCGGCAGCCCCGTCCGTCCCCGCCGTCGTCGTCGCCTCCACCCCCATTTCCACATCCAGGTGCTGCCCGCCGCCGGACTGTTTGCCTCCGTCTCCGCTGCCACCGTCAGCGGCGGCGGCGGCGCCATCATCCCCCGGCGGCGGCGGCGTCCTTCGCGCGACCTTGTTGGGCGGGCTGGTCCCCTCCCTGGAGGTCTCGCCGCGAGCTAAACCCAACGGCCCGGGCGCCGACCCTGCTGCTGCTGCTACTGCCGCTACTGCCGCCGACGGCCGCCCTTGACCCGCCGCCTCCGCCACCACAGCACTCCGATCACCATATAAATGCAACTGCTGATGATGATTATGATGTTGGCTTTCCGACTGAATCCCCTGCTGCTGTTGCTCCCGCTGCTGCTGCTGCTGTTGCTGTTGTTGTTGGCGTTGTTGTTGATGTTGTTGCTGTTCGTGCGGGTTGCTAAGCTGGGGTTGCGTGGGTTCTGTAGCGGTGGCCAAGGACGGGGAAGGCACTGCGGCGGCTGCGCCAGTGGGGCCTGCTGCGCGCGCCTCCAATGCCACCGTCTGTTGCGGGGTTAGCAGGCCCCGAAACCTGCCGTACTCGAGCGTCAGCTCGGCCAGGAGCTGCTCGTTGAGCCGCAGACGACCCACCTCGGCCTTAAAGGCACTTAGCGCGTCCCCCCCTGTGTGCACAGATCGCGCCGCAGGGTAGCATATAGACCGACAGACGGACAAACAGACAGAAACATAATCGAAGAGATAAGCTTAAAGACAGACAGACAGACAGACGGGCAAAGCGAGAGGCAAGTAGGCAGAGAAAAATACCTGCCGACACACTGACAGACGGACTAACTTGCCTCACGACTTCCAGTATTAATAAAAACCCCTCAGCGGCAACCCCTCAGCGACCCCATCGCCCACCACCACCTCACCCGACCGCTTCATGGCATCCGTAGCCGCCTGACGGCTGGTACCGGCCCCGTGGATCACAGCCTGCATCCGGGATTCGGGAAACGACGGCGGCCCCCCGCCGCTGCCGCCGCCGGCCCCGGGCTGGGATGGCGGCGCCGCTAGTGGCGGCAGCGGCGGCGGGTCGCGGTCACCGCCGCTAGTGCTGCCGCCGGCGCCGCCGCCGGCGGCGGCTGCTCGCGGCACGGCACGCAGCCTCGGCGCCAGCTCTGCCGCCACTGCGCCACCGGGTGCTGCTGAGGACGCTGGGTAGCTGCCGTACAGTCGTAGCAGAAAGCGCAGCTGCAGACTCAACAGAGGTTGTTGCAAGCCTGTTGTGTGTCGCGCGGGGGAGGGAGGGAGGGAGGGAAGGGTGCAAGGAAACAAATTTATCCAATAAAAAATTTCATACGCAAGGAATTCACATAGTCAATTATCGACTGTCTGTGGAGGCGGGGGACTGTGTGTGTGTGTATGTGTGTGTGGAGAAGTATGCGAGGAACCCGGGGAAACAACCGCCCAGGTCCAAAGTCACAAACGTAAAATCGGACCACTGACGATTGACAGGTTTCACAGGTACCAGAGAGGGGGGGAGAGGTGCGGCGCGATTTGTGTGAAAAAAACACCGCTGTGGAATCAGCAGCTTCCCGGGCGTCGTGTGGGCCGCTGTGTGCGTGTATGTGTGAGTGTGTGTTGCCTCCCGCGTCCCCCGCACCCATTCTTTACACAATCACAAAGGACTCCCGTATCCATCTCCAAGCTGAAGTTCGCGGACAGACAACCTTCCTTTCAACCCCACCCCATTTCGCGCCACCACGTCCCACACAGAGCTAACACCGGCGCCCGAAACCCACCCACCCACCCACCCAGCCAAGCCAGCCAGCCACCCACCCAGCCACCCAGCCAGCCACCCAGCCAGCCACCCAGCCAGCCAGCCACCCAGCCAGCCAGCCACCCAGCCAGCCAGCCACCCAGCCAGCCAGCCAAACTAACAAATCCCTCACATCTAAGAAATCCAACTCCTCTCCATTCTCTTTATTGTTGGTCTTACATCGTCTCGAACCCCCTCATCACGTCCGCGGAGAGACATACATACATACATACATACATACATACATACATACATACATACATACATACATACATACATACATACATACATACATACACACGCATCTCACCACCACCGTCCCGGGAAACCCTCTCACCTAACATGCTGCGTACGGTAAAGTACGCCAAATCGGCAAAGTCCGACGTAGATGTGGGGTCCAGTAGACCTGCGCTTTCAGCGCCGTACAGTGCCGTACAGCAGCCGCTGCCACCGGCGCCGGCACGGCCGCCGATAGCAACGTTGCCGCTGCCGCTGCCGCCGCCGCGCACACCAGCGGCCGCCGCAGGCGTCGAGGGCCATGTTCCTGTCGGCGTGGCTGCTGCAGCCGCCGCCGCCGCCGCTGCTGCTGGCGATGATGATACAAGTCCAGGGGCGGCGCTGCCGCCAGGGACGTCACCTTCCAGCTGCCCCTGCCCTCGCTGCCCCTGCCCCTGCTGTTGTCCGGCCTTCCTATCCCCTTCCTTCCTTTCCACCCTCGTGGAATTCCGCTCCTGCTGCTGCTGCTGCTGCTCTTCTTGTTCGTGTTGCTGCTGCTGTTGTTGTTGTTCTTGTTCTTGTTGGGGTATCAGCAGTAACAGCAGTAGCAGACGTTTAAACTCAACGTAAGCCTCCGGATAGGCATGTAGGGCTAGCGGCGCCAGCTCCGAACGCGCGCAGGCTGTTGTGTGTGTGTGTGGGGGGGAGAGTTATGGAAATAGGGGGGATAGAAGGGAGCTAAGGGGACAGCATATGCGAGGAAATAAAGGGGAAAAGGCGAACAACTTTAACAGGAAGAAAGAAAGGAGAGTCAACGTCAAGAATTATAAGTTCAGCTACAGTTGTGCATGCGCAGAAAAAATAAAACATTTTATTTATTTTCAACTAAACGATGTCCGCGCCATGACGGATCATGTAACAATGCGTCTTGCATCCAAGATGTAAATTCTTTGGTAAAATAGTTAAGAGACTTTTTGATTAGACATTTCTCTCAGGACGACTTAGGACGCAGCCGCGGAAGCCATTACTTGGAAAGGGGGATGGAGTACAAATCATGGAAGATGAGGTATATAGCACAGATCAGATCAAAACTTTTGGGGGGGAAGAGGGAAAATACTGAAAGGTCAGCTAAGCCAAACAAGGCGCCGATTTCAACCTCAAGAGGGCGGGAGTCTATGTGGCAAGCAGTGGACTGTAGGAGATGATCGACCATCACACACGTGCATGCGGGGTTCTAGGGGGAAAGACGAACCACGAACGGGTGAAGTAGATACCAGATGTAGACGGTTATTTGGGGAAAGAAATAATTCCATCTTTGGCTGTGATGAGGAAGCAGCCGGCGGGCGGCGATCGGTCGATGCGTGCCTTAGCGCGCAGCCCGCTTCTGGAGCTGATCCCACCTAGAGCGGCCTCTGGATCCCCGCCAGCGCGAAGCAACTCCACGAACTTTTGCTTCTTAGCACGGAATACGAGCCTCACATCCTGAAAGTGCAGCGAGAAGCGATAATGGCAAACAGTGGGAAACGTCGAGAGGTGTGGGTGTGCGCGCGCGAGCGGGCCGTGCGCGGGGCCGTGCGGGGGAAACGACGACAGGGCGGGGGAACGACAGGCTGCGGGCCTCACCTCGAGAGCGGCAGGGCATACGTCGCGCATAATTGCCAGGCCGGCATCGACATCTCCAGCTAGCAGCGCTTGGCGCATGGCATCGCACTGCTGCCACATGCCTGTTGCCTGTGACAGGTCAGCAACCAAGCCGTGGCATGAGACGCCAAGAATATGGAAAGTCTAGCGGACATACAACATTGGATAAATACTCTCAAAAACTGACCTGGCCTGCAACACCATCCGCGTAATCCTTGACAAGGTCGTCCAGGACCGGAAGGCACACTTCTTGCATCGGGTCCGCGTCAGCACCTAAAAAGGCCTCTCCTACAGAGGTTCTTTGCGTTTCTTTTTATATGGACTAGCTAATTTACAAATGCTTGACTGGGATAGAAGGTTGTGTGCCGAGAAACATTAGGGTTCCCACAGCCAAAAAAGCTTTTTACCATGTTCTAGGCCACAAAAGGGAGCTTCAAGGTCTATGAAGGGCATCTGTATCAGATTCACTGTGTAAAATTAACTGCATGGACTCTTGCCATTGTGTACGACAGCTGTGTGATTCCACAGCTTCCAGGCCATTTCTCCCGCCCTGGAGAATGATACGAAGCACATGGTACCATCATGTGCATGAAAGATTGGTTTGTCAAGGGGCCCTACCTACAGGTCTCGATGAAAAGCAAGTGCCACGATGAGAGAGAAGGCAAGCGGGGTCTGTAGTCCCGCATATGGGCATTGTGGGTTTCTCTCCAAAAGTGGCCATCCGATTGCAGCACGCAGGGATGCATGTCATGGGACGGTATGGCCCAATGAGACGGTCTGCCTGTAACCGCCAACAGTGGCTATATGTGTTTCAACCACCGGCAGGTAAGGCCATGGTCGGCCATGCAGCTCCATCCCCGCATATTCCCATCCGGTGTTCCATCCATTTCTTAAAACTTCAGGTCAACAACTGCCGACTAAGGTCAGCTATAATAAAGGGGAGGAGATGCAAACCTCGTTCCTATGTATCCTTGTAAGGCATGCATTGAAGCTTCGGCTCAGCCGAATTGGCACGGCGGCAAATACGGGGGCTGCTGCATTTTGCCGCCTTGCACTGCCCATATATTCCTTCTGTCTTCTGCATGGCAAGCAACGTGTGGATGTTGCGGCTCCAAGGGCCTCCTCAGATGGGCCTCCTGCAGTTACAAGCAGGCAATGGCAATTGGTACTGGTGTGAACTGTCAAGATGCACAGGTGCAAAATCATTAAACCGCATCACCCTGAAACACTTCCACTAATTTTCTTGAGATGTTACAGTGTGAGAAGCCTTTTGCCCGCTGATCAACCCCTTGTTGTGACGTGACATAGACGCCGCGCGCCCAGCATGCAATGCACGTGCCAACACGCAAGGGACGCCTTGCAAAAGCATATTTTCATGAATACTAGAGACGAGGAATTTGTTGCTAATCTAGATACGGACATCAGTTTCGGGTTCAAGCACTGATGACTTCATCATAACGTTCTAGCTACAAGTAACCGGTCTTGATGGATGGGCGTCTTCAGACAGTTTTACCACCATTTTTTTGTCCTTAAGATTTATTTCTTGAAAGTTTATTAACTGCTTAGATGGCGACTTAGATGCTCAAAATGAACCTTGCATGCACGCAAGGGCAAATTTGTAGCCTGCTGGACTGCTCTGGAAACTTGACCCCAAGAATGTAAGCTTGACCGTCACAACGATAGGTGGCATTTACCCCTCGCGTTTTTCTTTTGGCGCGAAATGAATGCCGGCGTGCCATTCACGCAGTGGCAGTAACATACCGTCATACAGTAGTTTCACAGTGCATTTTTCATTCCAATCACCTACGTTGCTACCAACCAGGCTCATGCCGGGATAATTTCATGCCGCCTACCGAACCCCCTGCGGTGTTGCGCCAGGAGCCCGCTCACACCACCGCCTGCTCAGCTCGCCTCTTTTTCCTCACTCCCAGGGCGCCGCGTTGACCACGGCAACCTCATCATCGCTCGCATCATCTGCTGTTAAAATAAAAGCTACCAACGCGGAACTCCGCGCCTGCACGATGACCAGCACCGGCCCTCAATGGCCACACGCTGGAGCGACCGACGACGACGCGGGCTTTGGTGACGCATACCTGGCCACGCAGGTTTTGGACCCGGGTGACTGGGCGGTGTCAGCCGCAGAGCTGCCGCCCAGAGCAGTCGCACGACCGCCACTGCCACTACCACGGCCAGGGGCCCTACAGATACCCACGCCGCATTCGCCACCAGTACTACTCCCAGTACTGCTCCCAGTACTGCCACCAGTACTGCCGCCAGCGACACATTCTGGTTCCTCGCAACGTCGGGCCCCTCGTGAAAACGAGCCGCACCTGGAGCAGCCGGAACCGCAGCAGCAGCAGTCACAGTCACAGCCGCAGGTGCAGGTGCAGTCACAGCCGCTGTGTCGACAGCTGCCTTCGCCTCCGCCGCCACCGCCACAGCAGCACCCCGCAGGACTATCAGAGCCGCAATGTAGCCCTGGACCCGGCGCCGGTGCTGCTCCTAGCCCCGGCCGTGGCCCCAGCGCTGCCGCTGCTGGTGCTGGTGCTGCCGGCCCTGGCGCTGGTATCATAACCTCAAGCATGCAAGTGCAAGCACAAATGCACGCGCAGCGTCACTGCCAGGCGGGCGGGGAGGACGGCGGCATGGGCAGAGCTGCGAATGTGTGTTCGCTGGAGATGCCACCAACCTTACCACTGAGCGGCGCTGAGCAACCGGCTGTGGCGGGCGCCCTTGGGGGGGAAGGGGGAAGCGGAGGGGGAGGCGGGGGGGAAGAGGGAGGGGGAGTAAAGACGGGCGCGGAAGGAACAGCAGCAGATGCTGCTGCGGGGTCCACGCCGGTCACGGTGGTAACGACAGAAACAGCGGCTGAGGCTGTGGCGGCAGAAGACTGCATCGACGTACGACGAATGTTGACAGCAGCCGACGGCGCAAGCAGTGGGCAGCCTCCGCAGCCTTTGCTGCAGCAGCAGCAGCAGCAGCAGGCAGAGCAGCAAGCGGATAGCCACCTGAGCCTTACACCAACTGCCGTACTCACCCGTGGAGTCGCCACCGTCCCCGGCGAGGACCCTAGCGGTATCGACGGTGGTGCTGGTTCGCCCGCCGGTCAACGGTGCAATCAGTCGCGAAGTGGGTCAGTCGTGAAATCGCCGGTGGGGACCGGCGCCGTTCCGATGAATGCGGACGACGACGACGACCACGACGACGACGACGACGGCGGCGCAACGAAGGCGGCAGTAGCTGCAGTAGCGGCGGAGGCGGCGGAGGCAACGGGGCTCGGGGAGATGGCGCAGAAAGCAGAGGCAGCAGATGACCTGGGCCAGAGCCTCGCGACTCGTGGCCTATGTGCTCGCCGTCAAGACGAGGACGGTCGACAGCCAGGACCCAAGGGACAGGGGGCCTGTAGCGGTGACCGCGCTGTGGGTGTGTTGGGTCCAACACAACGCCATCCTTCTCCAACACCCCCTCCGAAGGGGGTGTCGGAGAAGGATGACGTTGCTGCGGCAGCAGCAATGGCGGCGGCAGTGGCGGCGGCGGCAGTGGCGATGGAGGAGAAGGAGGAGGAGGACGACGAGGAGGAGGAATTGGGACGCAGCGGCGTCATTGATGACGAAGCGCCTCCTTCATTGGCGCTGGCGCTCCCCGCCTCGCCATCGTCGCCACGGGTGCTGGACGTCGACCTGCATTGCAACCTCACCTTTCCCCCCAGCCTCCAGCTTGCTCTCGATCCGGATCATGCTGCGGATCTGGATCCAGCTCCGGATCTGGATCCAGCGCTCGCCCCGGATCTCAACCTGAACATGAACCTCAGCCTGGGCGGGGGAGCACCGCCGACGCCTGAATCCGATGCTGCCGCGGGTGCAGCCGCTGGTACGACAACTGCTATGCCTTTTGACGGCGATGCTGTGCCCAAGCCAGGTTTGGGGATGGGGCCGCAAGCCGCTCCGAGACCAGAGCTCTCGCAGCTACAGCTGGAGTCGGAGCTGCTGCAGAGAGGGCAGGAGCTGGAACACAATTTGCAGGAGGGCGGCAATCCGCGATTGCCACCGCAGCAGCAACAGCCGCAGCAGGAGGAGGAGGAGGAGAAAGAGGTGGAGGAGGACAAAGATAAGGAGGAGGAGGAGGAGGAGGACGGAGCGCCGCTGCCACCGCTGGGTGAGCTGCTACAGGAGCCGATGGACTGCGATGACCCGCAGGGTGTAGCAGCAGTAGCAGCGGTGGCGGCGACGGCACTGGGCAGCGGTTCTTGTGCGGCTGCAGCGGCTCATCCAGCAGAGGGAGCGGAAGCCATGGTTTCGGAGCTTCATGTCGTACTTCCCGACACGGAGGTGGTACTGGAGGCCGAGGAGGCTGGCCCCGCCGCCATCGCGACGCCGGTGGCGGCGGCGATGTCGTACGAGCTCGTCGGTTCTGACGCTGCACGTGATGCCGGGACAGCAGCGGCGGAGCCGCAACGCGGCGGCGGCAGCCAGAGCAGTGGCGGCGCTGCTGCTGCTGGCGGCGGCGGCGACCGACCTGGCGGCCGCGAGGGCTCAAGGGTGGTAGAACACTGCGGCGGTTCGGCAGCAGCGGCGGGCGCTGCCACAACAAACGTCGCCGCTGTTGCGAGCCGAGCTGCCGTACTGGCAGCGGAAGGGCAGACGACGCGGCCTGATCCTGGCCCTGACGGAGGCGATGGTCTTCGTGCCACCGCGACACACAACGTTGACGATTTCATGGAGGTTGATGGCGGAACGGCAGCGGCGGCGGTGCCGCCGCCACCAACTGCAATAGTTGCCAACCAGCCACGCGCTCACGCCGCTGCCGTACGCAATGCCGTGACGCCAGCCAGTATGGAAACCACCCGCCAGCCACCGGCGTTTGTAGCTGAAGTCGCGAGCATCAGTGCTGCCAGTGGTGGCGGTGACGGCAACGGTACGGCCCCGGATGAGCTCAGAGGACTGGAAGCCGAAGCCGCGTCTGCGGAGGCGCAGAATCCTGCCGTACAGGGCGCCCCGCGGCTCATGGCGCCTGGTGCTGCTAGCGGCGGTGGTGACGGCGACGGCGGCAGCGGCGGCAGACGCCGCCGCGACAGCCCCGTCCTGACCTCGGCTACTGCCACCGTCACCGCCACCGTCACCGCTACGGGAACGGGCCCGGGTACGGGGACCTTGGATTGCGAGAGTGACGTCAGCAGTTTTGTGTCTGGCTCACATGGCGAGGGAAGGGGGCTGGCGGAGGCGAATGCGGAGCTGTCCAGGCTGCATAGAGGTACGGCAGCAGGAATGGGGCTTTTCGACGGATCCCCGGACTGAGAAAGGCTGTTTAGAGCGGGATAACCCCTGCTCCCCTTCCCGTTTCTCTCCCCCCTTCCTATATATCGCGTTGGCGTCGGTAGGCTAGCCGGAATAGAATAGTCGGGTCGGTCGGGTCGGTCGCGCGTTTTAGTTTTTTTTGGGGGGTTGGGAGGAGCACTTGCATACCGACAGCCTTTCAGTATCAGCAAATCAGCCTTTTCTCCAGGCCAGCAACTTTAGGCCACCTTTACGACAGCACTATTTTACTCGCCGCCTTCACTACTACTTTTCTACACCTACTTCTTTACGGATTGGCTATACTATTCAGCTTTTTAATTCTGGCGGCTTAGGTAGGTAGGATTTCCGACATCAACGTCACTTCGTCATCCCGAGGTCACAGTCGTCACAGTCGCCACGGACGCCTTTCGGTCAGTTTTTACGTTTGCTACTTTCTTGCCCTGGCAGCAGCTTCAATCGTGTGTGGTTCGTCCTTTCCCCCCTTCCTCCCCGAAGTCTGTTCCCCTTTTCCCCCCCCTCCCAACTCCCCCCCCTTCCCCCACCCACGCCCTCCTCTCCCCGTCTCCCGCCCTCCCCGCTGACTGGTCAGTTCTGCTTCCTGTAAATCTGCCGCAGCACTATTTCCTTGGCAGCGGCTTCACTCGCTCGTGTTTCGTCTTTCCCTCCCGCTCCACCCACGCCCCCGCAGGTCTGCTCTCCGGTGATGCCGATCGCGGTTTGGCCAGTGTGATCGTGACGGAGGAGCTGAAGACCGCCATGGCGGCGGCGGGGTTCAGAACCAGGGGTGCCGTACACATGGACAGAGAGCACCAAAAGGTAAAGGGGCGGTATGCATGCATGCACGACTTGTACGACTCAGCGTACGACTCATGGCATTTATGAAGTGCCCGTTTACTTGCACTCCTCGCAGCGTCTAAACGTGTGGGAGCTAATGCTAATGAGGGCTCACCAGCAGCAGCAGCGCGATGACGAGGAGGTGGAGGAGGAGGAGTGGCGGCAGCTGCAGCAGCTGCAGCAGAAAGGAGGAGAGGTGACTGGGGATCCGCTTCCTGGCCGAGGCCGACGGCGAGGCGGCGACGGCGGTTGCGGTGGTTGGGAGTTAACTTTCGTTGCCGTTGCTCCCGCTGGGCTCGCTTTGGCTGCTGGCGCTGGTACTGGGGCTGGTACTGGTGGCGGTGAGGGCGGTCAAGATGGTGACGGTGACGGTGACAGCGAGCTGTCGGACTTTGGTCCGGATGAAGATTGGATTCGGGTGAGGTTGAGGGCGAGGGCGAGAGAACGCGCGTGAGGTGCGAGACTTGCGGCTCAGGACGCTTTGAGCTTCGTTATTGCAGCGCGCGGCGGCACCATTCCTTTCTTGCCATGCACGGTACAGAGCGACCCACGGGTCACAAAACACCAGTAGAGGAAAAACATATATAATATACATATGTGGTATGACAAGCATAACATCTCCCCGTGTGCATGCGCGTCCCGGACATCATGTGTCACTCTTTACGGCGGTGAATGCCGGGACATACTTACATGCATACTTACATACACATAAATTTAGGGGTTTAGGGTTTTTGGACTCGCTCTAGCGGGACCTGAGAGCCCTTCGTGGTGTATTCAATGCAGCGCCATCCCCGGATGGAGGGGCTGCGGAGTAGCTGCGTAGAGTGTTGGCAGTCTGAGTCGGGGTCGGGAGCACACAAGACTAACCGACTTGTGCTGTGTGCTCCCGACCCTTGCGCTGTGTTTCGGCTTCGGCCCCCGGCTCTCGCGGCCCACAGTGTAATCTAAGTCATACATACATACATTCATAGCGCTGCGGCAGTGAACATGCCAATTATGATGGAAAGCAGTTCACCAGCGCGCCGTCCGACGTGTGCCCCCGGCCGCGGCGCGCGCGGCACCGCAGCAGGCGGGAAAGGAAAAATTTCTTCACGCGTGTCCTGCCGTACACCTGCCGTACTCTGTAGGTCGAGATGTTCGTTCATCCTCCGTCAC